AAAAAAAAAAAAAAATGTGTGACCCACAGCTGTGGAGTAGATTACCCAAGATTCTAAAAGTTTAGATTTTCAATACTAATCAACTATAATTATTAAAATGAAAAGTTAACTAACTAGTTACTCTTTCCATTAAAAGTTATTAATTGCAACCAAAATATTTTAACAAATGCAGGTTCTTATTTTAAAAAGTCAACTTCAAATATATCTCTGTTTCGTAATTTACGCATGGGCAGGTATCTAATACGCAAACATTTATTGCAAAGTGTAGTAACGAACATGAGCTTGTACTAATAATTTCAAGGCAAGACACTATCGTACAAAACTAATCGTAAATAAGTTATGAACTAGTTACTGTAAAAAAAATCTGACAGAAACAAGGTGCAATTGTTTAAATAACTTCTGGAACAAGGGTAAATAATTCCAGTAGATAATTAACTATGCAAAATTAGTTTGGTTCAATGACAAAAAATGTTAACAGGTATAAGTTAAAAAATGATTTTTATAATTTTCAAGCGGCTCTTATATTTTTGTTGTTAGTACAATTTTTTTTAAAAATAAAGGAACCTTTCAACAGATTTTTTAATCGTATAACATTTATCATAGACCATCTAATTTTCAAGATAATACCATATTAATCTTCTACTAATATCATGTAAGGATTATGTAAGATACAGAAAAATATACTTTTAGATTATAAGACGATAACGGTTCGTTCGAGAAAAAAGGTTGTGGGACATACCTTTATCTAAATTAACTTGAACTTGTGAAATCTACATGAAAAAATAATTGGGTAAATATGTATATTACAATATACAGAAAATATGCAAACATGTAGTTTTAGATTTTTTATCAACTCCACAATCTATTAGACAGCTTTATAAATGTAGAAATAAATTATAACACATTTCAATGTGAGTATTTAGAACAGATAACATACTTTAGCGCTTTCTTATAAGATAATAAATTCTGAATATTTAAATGTATATCATAATACCCAGATAATACAAATAAAAGCTTCTATATTACACTATGTAATAATAACAGTTTACCTTTTGTACTGAAATCATCAACTAAGATTATTTCATGTAGCAAATGTTGTGGGGATCGATTAATAACGCTATAAACTGTTCTTAACAATGTTGACCAATGTTCATTATGAAATGGAACAATGACACTCACTCTTGGAAGATTTTTCAAATACTTCTTAGTTTTGCAACTGTGAAAATAAATTCCAAACTTATTAAAAAACGGGAAAACTTCTTTTTTTGTTTAACTAATATAAAATTCAAGAAAAAAAAAAAGAGAATTGTTAAACAAAGATTAAAAATAAAGTATAAAGGTAATATGATTACTTGTGACCTACCCTTTATGTCTAATATCTGGAAGCGATCTATCCAAAGCAATTTTATCACTAAGGGCAGCATTAAAGCCATTTTCTTCATATAATTTATCATAATTCTTTAATTCAGATGATAATATATCTTCTTTTTTTCCATGTTCACCAATACCTATAGTAAGCATATTTTGTAATAAATAAAAACATAAAAAAGTGGTCATTTAATATTTTAACATTGCAATAATCTGTCATTTATTGCAACACAAAAGAGAAATTTCAAACACAAGTGTTACAATTAATTCACATTTTTTATCAAAGTGAAACTTTAATTATGACTTAACAAATGCTTAAAATGTCTATTTTAAAAAAATACAAAACAAACCTTTACGTTTTGATTCTTTCGCAATAAACTTGTAGTCATGCCAGTCTATCTTTGTATTGTCTACAGCTACATCCTACAAGTTAATACCATCTTAATAATTTAACAAGCATTAAGATAACATAATGAACTTACATTTTCATATTCTGGGGGTAAAGGAACGGCTCCACCACCTCTTTCATTGACTATTTGTGCTACTGAACTATCGGCCAAATTAGGAGTCCTGACAAATCTAAATACTAGCACAGTTACTGCTGAAGTTACCCCCGCAAGTATTAGGAACTTGAAAAAACTCCTCACGTTTCGTTTCATATTAAAAATTGCTAATTATGTATAAATTTTATATGTATCTTGATTAACTTTAGCATTGTCTTTAATAATCACCAAAAGACATGATTTAAATAAACATTGCTGGTCACTAATTTTCATTTTTCTTGCACTATAACCTTCATTATAATTTCACACATATCACAAATTATTTACTAATAAAAATAATGATTGCTATCTATGCTGGTATTCGTATACTAGTTTTCATTACTTTTTTCGCCTCATTTTATTATTTCCATGAATTTTTAATATTTAAATGCTGCTTTTTGATTCGTCACACTGCAACACACTGAAAACTAAAAACCGACTAAAAACAACTAAAAGTACTGAACATCGACTGAACCTATGCACTGAACTGTTCAGAACATGTTCACTACGACTGTTTACATCAAAACCGTGTCGTTAATTTGCTAATCGTAAATTTTGTTAATTTGCTAATAAAGATCCAGCTTTCAGTAAAATTTATAGATATAACTATAAACCAACCATGTCAAGCAATATCACTATAATATCACTGTAACAATCAGCATGCTAGAGTTTCACTATTTCAATTCAATTTGTAAAATAAAGTATTATAAAAAGTAGAAGGTCGTTTTTCCTTTATCAACTTATAATAACTGACCTTGCTTTCCCTTCACTAAAGAATGTGTATGTACGTTAAGAATATGGAAATTTCTGACCATATATATTCATTAACAAAGTACTTGGTTAAACCAGTTTTAATTTTTTTCCTAGCTGAAAAAGTTTTTTAAAGTAATAATACCTGCGCCGTACCTATGCAACGTATTATTATAGCAGTATATTTGCTATAATTATTACAATGCTATTACGTTTCACAATAAAACAAGAAAAGCTGTACTTAATAAGTATTGTTAATCGTAAAGTATATTTAGAATTCTTAGAACGCTCAAATTATTGATTGATTGTTTATTAGTGGGATTAACGCATTTTTCTATCTATATTTTTCCTACCCATACCAAATTGCAAAAGTAAAGTAATTAAAAATTGTTAAAAAGTGTTTTTTATCGTTTTGTTTCTTCTGTTCAGAAATTGTTTGGATTTTTGCTAACAGTTAAATGCGTAACTGCTAATTAATTGCAACTTAAATTATCGTGAACAGGAAAATACAAAATAAAAAACAACTTTATAAAACTTATTACTTTCGATTACTTTTGGTGTATTCGAGTATGCAAGTACAGCAAATTATGGATGGAGTTGCTTACTATCAGGCATGTTAAACCAGACAAGTTTTAAAAAGCCAGGCTTCGAGATTTATTTATGAAAACTAATTGGACATCTGGAACGTATGTTTGCGACTACGTCTATGGCTACTACTCTATCGTCTTGACATGACAAATTAGTTAGTCATCAGGTTAACATATGTAATGCATGAATTTTCAAACATAGTAAAAGATTTTGTAACAAATAATGTCACGAAATGGCAAAGAAGTGTTATATGAAGGGTGGTTAACAAAATCGCCACCAACAAAACGAATTTGGAGGGCTGTAAGTAGAAAATTTCGTTTTATTTGCAGAAGAATTTTTTATGATGATGCTTTTGTTAATTAATATTGTGTGACGCCTTGTTAATTTTAAAATAACTGAAGATCGTTTATAATTATAAAAAAAAGGAAATAATAGAAATTACTTTAATTTTGTCTAATGGAATGCATAGGTTAAGACTACGCTTCAATGATATTTATTAAAATGTAAATAATGCAAATTTAAAAATTCTAAAATGTAATTTTCCTATTATTTTAATAATTATTTTCACAGAATTTTATTCTTAGACGAAACATTTGTACTTTAGTATCAATGTTTGTGACTTTTAAACAGAAGAACCATATTTGTGTTATACATTTTTTGTTATGAAATTGCAATGTTTATTTTGTGTGAATTAATTAAAAATCTTTTGTAGAGATGGAGAAAAAGATGGTTTTCATTACAACCTGGTGAACTTCCAGGCCAGTACTTGCTTACATACTACACAGACAGAAATTGTCGTAAACTGAAGGGTGTTATTGATTTAGATCATTGTGAGCAAGTAGATACTGGGCTAAAATATGAGGTTAAAAAACTTAAATTTGATTTTATGTTTGATATTAAAACACCAACACGTACTTACTATCTCGCTGCTGACAATGAAAATGAAATGAAAGCATGGGTTAAGTGTATTTGTGATATCTTAGGGTTAGAAGCAACAACTGAGGAGCAACAACAAACAGAAAGTACTTATTTAGGGGACAGTTTAAACCTAAATGCTACTTGTTATTTCTATAATTTTAGGACACATTGCTATTGAGTCACCTCCCACTACTGATGTGTATTTTACAGAAGTTAAGAATGAACAATCAGTTAAAAATAATTTTGATTCACCACCAGTGTCTCCTGTTAGTACAGGCCCTTATATTCCAATATCTGAATGTATTACTGGAAGATCTCCTACACAAGGTGCTCAGGTAACTTTCAGTTTATTGAATTTGAAATTGACAAAGAAAGGTTTGTTATAATTAAACACTCAAATAAATTAACAAAAGTCCAGCAGGATAAGATGGTAAAAGGTGCCTCCAAAAGGATCCTTGACATTTGTTTTTGAATAGAATTAAAATCACTCTAAATTTTTTTGATTATTAAGAATACTAGATCATAGCAAAACTTTTTTACTAAGTCATTTTTCAGTTATTTATTAGAGGTAATTTTTTAATATTACTGTATGTAATTATATAGGGTACAATTGTTTTATTTTTAAATGTTTTTGAACTTGTTATAATTCTTAACTCTTTGTTAGAATTTTTACGAAAGCTAGATTAGAAGAAAATGAACAAAAATCATTAAAGCCCTATTGATGTGGACCTTGGAAGTCCTGAAATTTGGAGAAAAATGTCATCTTATCTTGCTAGGCCCATTCGTGAACATTTTTATTGATTTGGTATGACGTGTGAGTTAAAAAACTGTTCTGGTATATACTTATCTATTGCAGAATTTTATTTTCATAATGTATGGAAAAAAATTTTTAGGATTTTTATTCTTTACTACGCCACAATGTCGCAAATTCATACTTCCGTCCAGATTATTCAAAAAATCATATGAATGCGACTTACGAAACTTCTCCCACGTATCTGAACGACGTAATAATTCACAATGAGGGCGATCCGAGATTCTATGACTCTCCAAGACAGTTGCAAGCTCCCAGAAGAACTTTAAAAAACTCGGAAAACTATTGCAATGTAAGGGTCGAAAAGAATTCTAATATAAGTCCCTTGCAAAGTCCCACGGATTCGGAGAGCGTTTTCACTGACGACGATTGGACTCACAATACCATGTCGTCCAATAATAGCAGTAAGATTTTCTTTTTTAATTTATGTATATGAATAAAGTTTTTGATATTTTTTGTAGATGCAAGGATGCCCCTCGCTTCAGACAGTTCTATGGGAGAGGCGACGCAAAAGTTAAACAAAATTGCTTTGGATAACAATTCTAGTTCACCTCTGCCTCCACCCAGACCNTTTGTTAATTTATTATGTCAGGATATAGTCGGGACACCAAATTTCAGGAATTAATTTACTTTATTAATTTGTATGCTCATACACTCAAGTTGTACAAAGTACAAAATATTCCTTTGTATTATTCACATGAAAATTGCCGCGAAAAAATTTAGTTTCTTAGACAATTTTGTGATAACTGTTAAAAAATACTTTAATTTAGTGTACGCTTATGCATATCAAAATGTTCATTAAATTTCTTGATTTTTTTACGTTGATAGATGTAGAATAACACACGTATTTATTGTGCCATTTATAATTGTGCTTGTATGTATTTTTACTGTATGTAGATTCAAAAATAAATACATAATAGTGAAAAATAAATTTATTTGATGTATATTTATTTATCTATCTGGTAATATGATAATGAATTAACTTTATTACCTATTTTAAACAGTTTTTATTGATTTTGATGCGTCAAAAATTAAAAATTACGTTCAAAATATTTAGTAATATATTTTATATGTAGATAAACTATAAACATAACGTACTGTGCTTGTTCATTAAAGTTTATACAAAATATTTCATAGAATTTACAAAAGAAAGTATTTTTTTAATGCATTAAAACTTTTGGCACGAAATTTAAAAGAGTTTTCCCACTTGCGAATTACAATTGAATCAATATCTCCCAGTACATCCGATCAATAAGCGTTTGAGAAGGTAGTATATTTTTGAAATTTAGCACAAAATAAAACGTATCTGTTTTAAATCTATTTGTAGTTAATCCGGGAGATTTTTATTTCATTTTGGAACAAGTAACAGTAATGTGCATTAATTTTTTAATAATTTTAGTACTTCAATTGATTACTAGAGTCTGCGCACGTATCCATCATCCATCCAGCACCTTTCATTTCCGTTTTCTCATTGAATAAATCAGTAGGCTCGTTATCCTTGCCATTTGACGGTTGAGGGTGAGCCGTTTTTGGTGTGTTTTAATTAAAATAGAAAAAGGTGAGTCTTTCTTTACCAGTATAGGTAATTATAACGGTTCTGTGCACCAAGTAAACAATAAATTTTGTGTAACGTGTTTATATAATTACCTATCTATTTCATCATTTCTGTGCAGGTTTAGAACCATTGTTAGAACAGCACCGATATTTAATTACATAAATTCACCATGCAGTACAACGGAACACACCAAAATAACGGCATGTAAGTAATTTTTTTTACAAGTACATATTTTAATTTAGTTTTTAAACCCTTTGGCTAAATTTGTCGTATTGATTTTTGGCATCCATCTTGGTTTGTCTGGCATTTTCCATTACATTTTTTTCGTATTTATCAGCTTCCAACATATGGCTACTTACTCGAGCTTTTCTAATTGAATTGGTGTAAATAATTTAGAAAAATTATTTTGAATGTGTACAGCAAAAAATAACGATAATGGTTCTGTGCAAATATTTTTCTTTTGTAAAATTTCTGTTAAATGTTGCAATACTGCTGTTACAGTAATATTCAAAGTAGGAGTTACAGTCGTTTAATAACTGCAAGTTATATACATGAAATTTCTATGCAGTTTTATTTGATGTTATGCAAGTGCTTAGGTGACATTTAGGTTATTTTATTGTTATCAGGTTCCATGCACGTCCTGCGCGTGATAATTACAACCAAAATTGGAAATATACAAACCAAGCATTAGCACCAATTCAAGACTTTGGAGGACCTAACACTAAAATACAGTCCCGTGAATTTACTTCGAGCAATAACCGTGTACAAAAGCAGCAGCCTGCATGGGAACCCCAACCCCAAACTCAAGAATTACAGCCATTCCAGAAGAACATTTATGAATTACATGAGAATGTTAAAAACAGGTCACAATCAGAAGTTGATCAATATAGACAGCAGAAAGCAATTACTGTGATTGGCACAAATGTTCCTCATCCAAATGAATGTTTTGATGAAGGAAATTTCCCTGAATACATAATTAAAGAAATTGTTAGGCAAGGATTTACTGAGCCTACTGCTATTCAAGCACAGGGATGGCCTATTGTCCTTTCAGGACGTGATTTAGTTGGAATTGCACAAACAGGCTCTGGAAAAACATTAGCTTATATGATACCTGCCACATTACACATCAATAATCAGAAAAGGCTCCAGAGAGGTGAAGGCCCCATTGTACTAGTTTTGGCACCTACACGAGAACTTGCACAGCAAATACAGAAAGTTAATTTATGTATATGAATAAAGTTTTTGATATTTTTTGTAGATGCAAGGATGCCCCTCGCTTCAGACAGTTCTATGGGAGAGGCGACGCAAAAGTTAAACAAAATTGCTTTGGATAACAATTCTAGTTCACCTCTGCCTCCACCCAGACCTCCTAAACCTGCCCATATTGTACCTGCACCCACGTATTTCAATTTACCAACGAATACATCTCCTTTGAAGACCATGTAAGTTGGAAAGTAAATTTTTCATTTTTTATTATACCCATATGTCTAATTCTTAATTTTATTTTTTTTTTGTGTCTTATAAACGCGTTCTTAAAATGAAAACATTTTGAAATGCCACATTGTTACAGGAAGGATACAAATGACCAATCCAAAGCATCTGGGGATAAAACTAGTGTGAGTTCGCAAAACAACGCGCCTATACTCACTGACGACATGTACGATTTTCCACGATCACATCAGATAGAAACTAGCGACAGTTTGTCCAACACGTTGTCACGGCGGCATTGTTATAACAATGCAGCGCCGGTGACTCTGGAAGGGCACATATTTCGCTACGACATATCGCCCAAACCCAGTACTAGCTCTGCACAGGTGAATATTACCGCGTATAGGATTAAATCGCTTGTCGTAATTTAACATGCCATAAACCGACAAATGCATTTGTGTGTTTTTTCTTGGGTATGAATAGGTATTTCGTTATGATTCTGAAGATATTCAAAGTCAGAATGAGCCTGCATCCCCAGCTTCACAAAGTTCTTCATCAACAACAGGTGCCTTATATTTCAATCTGCCGAGTCCTCTTTTACCAGATTCCCAGGTAAATGTAAGACAGGTGTTATACTTGTAATAAAAGCACCCATTTAATAATAATTAGTCTGAACAGTCAACGTTTCATTTTACAAAATACTTTTTATGTTTCGTAGTTGATGCCCCCACCTAAAATCAATCGAAATTTAAAACCAACTCGAAAACTGTCAGATGCTCAATCAATTAGTTCGACAACGGAGCCCTCTTCCCCACACCATCCACATGCACCTTCCGTTGATCGCACTTTAAAACCGATCGTAATTTGTCAGGTAATCGCTTTAAGAGAAAATATTTTTTCGTATTCGATAAGTAATACTTTGATTAAATTTAATTAAGTAGTTTTTATTTTTTTCTCAATTCCTTTTAGAACACTGTATTGCGCAAGACGTTTGATGGNGAGAATAACTATGTGCAATAGTTATCAAAATCTGCAAATGGATCATAAAGAACCAAAGCAGGCTTTAGTTATATTATTCCTAATCAATTCAATGGAATTAAGATTAGCAAAATTAATCAAGTAAATTCCTGTTTATATGAAAATTACCTTTTTCAGAATATTTCACTGGAGATGTATCTGTTTCTCGAGAGACAAGTAAGTAATTTGAATTTTCTTGTCTCAAAAAAAAAAAAAGTGAGAATAACTATGTGCAATAGTTATCAAAATCTGCAAATGGATCATAAAGAACCAAAGCAGGCTTTAGTTATATTATTCCTAATCAATTCAATGGAATTGATAAATGGTATTACATATTTATTTTATATGTATGTCGTTGGTCTTTGGTAACTACCAATAAATAGTGCTTCAGTAATACTTATAATTGATTTTATTGAAGATTTAGTATTTGCTATTAATTTCATGTATGTAAAACGACTATGGTTCCTAAAATGTTTATTATTGGAGTATATTTGTCATAAGAAATGTTTTGGATAAATAAAAGTTTAGCTTTTTTCCAATTAGTGAAAAAGAAGTATTGTGTAAATATAGTATTAATATTTGAGATTCAAAATATATTAAACATTATTTGAAATTAACATGGATTAAATGTATTACACATATACTCTTAAAATTACAATTCCACGTTTTATTAAAAATAGACTGTAAATTTTGAAACTAAAAAAAATTGTAACACTAATTTTTACATAATTTTTTTTTGTAATTGTAGGAGTGGAGTTGCTTTTATTATATCAGGCTAATTTTAGCATGTATTGACCGTAGGGCTTTCTGATAGACACAATAGTAGCATGTCCCTTTTTGATTTTTCCAGGCTCCCCCAGCATGATTCGTAATACTTGCATTTTCGGTGGATGCCCCAAAGGACCTCAGGCTCGCGATTTAGAACGTGGTGTCGAAATCGTTATTGCAACACCTGGCCGTCTTATCGATTTCCTCGAAAAGGGCACAACAAATCTCAATCGATGCACATACCTTGTCCTTGACGAGGCAGACAGGATGCTTGACATGGGTTTCGAACCTCAGATCCGCAAAATTATTCAACAAATTAGACCTGATCGTCAGGTATTGATGTGGTCTGCCACATGGCCGAAACAGGTTCAGGCTCTCGCAGAAGACTTCCTTGTGGATTACATTCAGGTTAATATTGGCTCTCTAGCATTGGCTGCCAATCGTAATATTCGCCAAATCGTTGAAGTGTGTGAAGAAGAAGAAAAGGAAGGAAAACTAATGAATTTGCTCAAAGAAATTGGTTACAATTCTACCAATAAAATTATAGTATTTGTGGAGACCAAAAAGAAGGTGGACGACATTACCAAGTGCATAAGGAACGAAGGTTTCCTGGCCATCTGTATGCACGGGGATAAATCGCAACCTGAGCGTGATTATGTATTATCAGAGTTTAGAAGCGGAAAATCGTGTATTTTGGTAGCAACTGATGTGGCAGCGAGAGGATTAGATGTTGAAGATGTTAAATACGTCATCAACTATGATTATCCAAATTCTTCAGAAGATTATGTTCATCGTATTGGAAGAACTGGCAGATGTCAACAAGTTGGTAAGTCATTACAAAGAAAAAAATAAAAGAATCTTTATGTTAATAATATTTTCCTTGTTAAAAATAGGAACTGCTTATGCATTCTTCACCCCCAATAACCAACGCCAAACCAAGGACTTGATTGCCGTTTTGGAAGAATCAGGTCAACCTGTCTCGTCAAAACTTGTTGATCTTTTGGCTTCATCTCGTAATAATCAGAGTGGTCGTAATCGTTGGCAGAATCGCAATCGCGACAACTCGTCACCAAACAGTAACGAATCACAACAGGGCAAGCAGCAACAACAACAAAATCAAAGAAACAACAACAGAACGTGGAACAACAAGACCTACGTTAACAACGATCAGCAGAGACAAAACAATATGAGATACAATAGCAATGGAGGCGGTGCCAATGGGGGCATGAAGTTTGATACGTTCCAAATACCCAACCAGAGGAATTCTGGGCAGTACAATGGGGGCTATCAGCCGAACATGTACCAAAATCCTGGGGCACAATATGCTGGACAACAACAGGGTGGATATGGAGGAGGATATGGGAATGGAAGGCAGTTTAATGGAAATCGTGGCTATAGTAAGTTTTAAATATTAACTACAGAATAAGAAAGTGAATTATTAGGGAAAATATAAGTTTATTGACCCTAGTCTTTTAAAACTTTGTTAAAAGTAACAATTATTCGTTGTTAACAGTCGTTTTATTACAGATAATATGCGTAACAGTTCAGGTGGTCCGCCCCGTTACAGCCAGCGCCAGGCATATTCCAACGCATCAACAGCAGGAATGTACGCCGTCCAGCCACAGTACATGATGCAAGCCACGGCTGCCGCGGCCGGAGTTCCCGGATCGGCGGACGACGTCCAATGTCTCGTCAATCACAAGTTTTTCCAACCAAGTCGCACGCCCCCTAACAACGCATGCGGCTACCAATCGATGAATCAGGGTATGTTTGGGCAATATTCGCCCCCTGTTCCCCCTTACGCGTATCAGTACACCCAGCCACCCGCGGCTGCTGTACAACAGTAATCTCATTATTTAATTTAAAAAAAAAAAACTACCTTGAAGAACGCTCGCTCGCTCGCGCTAGAGTTTTTTTGATTTTTTTTGCTTTTGTTTCGAATGAGAAATTTTTGTGTGTGCGATGAAAGAATAAGTAAATAAAAAGAAGCGTTTTTTAAGGTTGTAACAGCAACATACATTAATAAAAAAATTGATTTTTTTTCGGTAAATAAAAAATAAAACGGGCCGGTCCCTTTAGCCACCCGTTGTAATTCGTCGTTTAAATGTGGGATGTGTCTTATTTAGTGTTAGTAGATTATTTTTCTTTTGTAATGGGCTTTTTTCTCTTCAGCACTATGCGTTTATGATACCTATATATAATACTTTTTGGAATATCAGCTCTTTTTGCCGCAATCGCTTCACACAATATTTAGGTTCATGTATAAAAGAAGTTGCTTTTTCATTTTAGATATCGGATTTTATTTCAACGTTTATTTTTCTTTAAACAGCAGAAGCAGAGCAACTATAACCAACTGATCTTTACTATTGCTAATTTCAAGTATTAATGTACTTTATCCAAAAATGAAATAACGATAGCGGCATGCATAGACTAAAATGTGTAACCGATGTTGTAATCGATATTATAATTAGTCATTCATTGTAAAAGATAGATTGGTCGGGAATTGGTCTAGCAAAACATTTATTATTTATTTATTTAGCGTGAATGGAACTTCGATTAAATTTAATGGGACAATAGTAGGAGGGTTGTCGTATCTATTTACCAAAAAGTTTTGCCTTTATAAAATTTAAGAAGATAATTATTCTTTTCTGAAGTGTTCCCGACTAAGTCAGCATATTTATTAATTATATTAATTGTGTCCGACACTGCTGCACTGTTATTCTGCAAATAAATGATAAGTAATATGTCTTTTCCCCCCTGAGCAGAATGAATTTGTGGTGACGTTTAAAACCAGCAAAAATTTAAATTACGTTTAACAACATTGATTGTGTCGCTGTGATGTTCGTTTGTATTCGGTCTTCTTTGCAACTAGGGCTGCAACGAGGATTCGAATGCACCTCTACTCACAAAACATTTATATACACACACTCACACATATGCTGTGCTAGCTAGATTTTCATAATATGTGTAATTGTAATGATAGTGTTTAATAATATTAATAATATTTGTATTTCTCTTTATCTGTATGCTGTTGAAATGCACGAAACATATAGAAGGGGGGATATCTCCAATTGAAACAAAAAATACATACATACATACGTTTAGTGATATATATTGATAATTTAATAGTTTTTGTCTCCCCATGAGACGACAACGCAGATATGATGATAATGATAAAAAAAAACGTAACGTTATTTCAAGACGATAATTTTTAATAAATAAATAAAAACGTCTTAATAATAACGAAAACTGAATGAAAAAAAAAAAACAAACGGTAAGATAATTTATATTTCTGCGATGATATATCTGTTCTGTGTGCAAGTGGTTCGTACCTACCGTATCTCGTTAAGATAATTTTCCCTTACGAGGTGGTCAGGGATGAAGTGGAAGATATCTTCTTTGTCTGGTCATCGTCGTTTTCTATATTAGTAAGGTGTAATTTCTGGACATTCCTTCCAGTTCTTCATAAAGTAGGGACAACAACGGTCAAATTCAAAAAAGTGCGATTTTAATAATTATAATGATTAAAAACCATTGCAGCTAGAAATAATTAAAAACTTACTTTCGAAATGTGTACCCTGCTTTCTGTAAGATAAAATACAGAAAAACTGTTATCTGCCTTTATAAAATTACCAAGTGCTCTCCGATTGCTGTAGGCGTTTTATTATTGGAATAAAGCGGCGACAATTAATTAAAATAATAAATAAATAGTCCTAATAGATGCACACATGAACCAGAGTCATGCGCCAAGTGCGTGTATATTGTAGTGTTTAGTTTTGTTTTTCATTTAACGCGATTTATTTTAATTCTCTATAAGGTTCACTCTTTCTCGAAACGTTGAAACGAAACGAGTATGAAAATGAAGAAGAAAGATGATGAGAAAAATAATTAAAAATAAAAAATACAAAAACGGTGCATCGGCACTCGATCTGTGATATTTTTTAGCAAGTAACGGTAGCAAAGAATAATAAATTATATTAACTTTCCGTGTGTATAAGAGGAGCTGTGCGCGCTTCTTTGCTTTAATCTCGAAGCCAAATATGTGCGTTTCGAATGATGTACTATAAAAGCATGACACGACCGGCGAAAGCTCATTTTTTCGTGGCGCGTTACGCTAAACCGTCACGTTACGTTACGTTACGTTACACGCAGTTTTACACTACGAGACGCGCGCTTTCCGGGACATTGTTCGGTATGTGATATTTACAAGAGATGTTATTTATAATTAATTATCTTTACGAAAGACTGAACTAACTTGTAACTTTACACACTTGTAGAGAAAAAAATACATGACGACCTTCAAAATCGTCAAAATTTTTTATTAGATGATGATTAAATACATCATACACATACCCACATGCATATTCTCTACGGATTCCCCTTTTTTGTTTATTGTTTTCGTGCGTGAATATGTTCGTATTCCAGGCGGATTTGTGATTGCCAATAATAATAATAATAATAGCGCCGTTCTCTTCACTCGGATTGTTTTTTTGGTGCGCCATGAACTGCACATTTAGTAAATATAATAATTAATATTATTCGCGATAGTCAACAAACGGCTCCGTTGCTATTACATGATCGGTACTAGACTTTGGCTCCTCCTACCTAACTGATTAAAAAAAAAAAAGAAAAAGTAAGTACATTGTTCATTAACTCGTGGTGAAGCGTGTCTACTGTGATTTTTCTAACGTTTCTATTGACGTTTTACCAGTTAATATACAATACAGTGAACCCTTCTATGATTAAATTTATCTAGTTATGTATATTGTAGAATTTATTATTTAAAAATTTCCGTGATTATATGAAGCCTGGTCTGGTCGTCTTTGCAGTTACGTAGCAGGAGCTCAGACTCTTGCGTATGTGACATCCTTGGAAGTCTCATACTTTCTCTTATCAGCTTTAAGTCCTTGGAAGATCTGATAACGAACGTTCCTTTTTTTTTATATATTTTCAAAAATAGTACGCGACAGTATGATACATTATTAAGTATTAAAATTTCTTTTGTGTTCCTGAAGAACGTGAAACTGCCGCCGTAATATCATGGACCCATTTTTTCAAGTAGATTTCCTTCGTTTTTCGTTTAATACATGTATGTGATAATTCGATTAGTTTGAAAGGTTTCATGAAATAAAAAAAAATTGGTGCACGGAAAAAAGTACGGTGAGCCTATTGAATAAAACTACTTATTTATTTATTAAAGAACATGGCAACGACAGTCTCGTAATTATTTTTTTTTTTATATATAAATAGCTGTGCCATAGTTAATATTTTTTGTCCTGAACGTACTGAAAATTATTGAATTTTTCGAGATTTGTTGATTAGCTCTAGCGTGATAATTTTTACTCCTCATCGTTTGGCTTTAATGTATTTATCCAACGGTTTTAAAAACGATTAAAATTGAAGATTTAGTGCATAAGCCAGATTCAGAAACACGACAATTTTTTAAAATGTACATCTTTACAAAATGTCTCAAAATAAATTTATTTTTATTTTGTTTTTCGGTTGATAAATTGGTGAAGCCCTTCATTGTAGGAAATGTCTGACTGTTGCATGCATTTTTGAGGTACTTTAAACGCTGTGATGTATATGTACTTTTTATTAACTAAAAAAAGTAAGTATTTACTAAAAGAGTACAATATTTTGCGATAGAGAGAAAAGTTATGACACGTTGCCGTGCTCCAGTACTTTATATCATTCGACAAATGGCTTAATTAACTAATATTATTAAAAAACAGTATATGTAACGATGATGGTTGAATTTAATAATACATAATGAAAGTATGAATCCAATTGTACACTACTCGTCGCGTGGCCCTCAGTTTTTTTTTTTTTTAGTAAATCGTTAAGTAGTTTTAAAGCATCGATTTTTATTGTCTAATTTTTAAAATCTCTTCTGTAAGTTTCCAACAAGTGCATTTCTTGTATGTAATACAGTATTACTAGGTATTCACTGCATTATTAAAAATGTAATGGAAATTGAATTGTATAATAATAAATTACTTTTCATTTTTGTTGCAAATTTTTGTTTTATTGTTTTCTCCTATCAACCATTTAACTATAATTTGCAATCTGCATAGTGATAAGTAAAGGTATTTGAGGAAGAAATCTGAAATAGGTAAGTAATAACAACCAAAATAATACTAATCTATTAATTCTGATAAATTTGCATGGTTAATGAAAAAAATTATGATTGAAAATTATTTTATTTGTTTTAAATATTACAATGCTGTCGATGTCTCTTGACGTTCGTTTTTCAATTTTAAGTATAATAAGTGGTATTAACATCGTCTTAAAAAAAAATGTAAACATTGAACAGTTTTACTTAAAATAATTCCTTTAAACCTAAATGAAAAGATGATGGGTCACTGAATTAAATAATAATCTAAAACTATAGTAATTGGTACTTAATTTGATTTGTTCTATAATAGGTATTATTTTTGGTATCCAGCTATTTCATGTATAGGATGCTAATTAAATTAAAAGGGAATTTTCCTGGGCAAGCAAAGGTTCCATTTATAATACGCGGGGAAAGTGTTAAAGAATCGTCTATTCGATCAAACAAAATACAAATTTCAATAATTACATAAAAATTAAGATGAACCATTTTATGGACCCACTTACTCAACGTATGGCACAAAAGGAAATCATTTCTTGTAAGAAATATTTCTTGATTCTATTACATTTAAAAATAATTTAATTCGTTAACTGGTGGTAATAAAATATTTATTATGCCTATTATGTGGTTAGGTACCTAATTTGATATTTTTTAATATAGCCATTATTTCTGATATCGCATTATTTCATGTATAGGATGCTAATTATGTTTTTAAACCTATTATGTTACACCGCACCGTTTCATTTATAAAAGAAGTACTAAAAAACAATTACAGAAGTAATGGCTGTATGCAGGGTACGACCAGCCACCTACAAATGATTCTAAAAGTGTTGTATCAATTTTTATCCAGTTTTTAAGTTAACTTAAAGTTCAAGTTCAAATTTTTTTTGTTTGAATTTTTTGAATTTTTTTAAACCAGTTTTGTTGTAAATCCAGTCGAAATTCGCGTGTGCACACCAGAGTTTGAAAGAGGGATTTTAAGGACCACGAAACAATTCCCGCTTGGTGTACATTCACCACAAGTGGACCTCCTGAATCGGCCTGACATCAAGAAAGAAAAGTACGAAAGAACTTTTCATAATTGCTATGCAAGAATAAAAGGAACTTGCTTCCTTATTACTCTCGCACTGCAATCACCACTTCCATCCTCAGGTAATTTTACACATAATTGTCTCAATCGGAATATCCTTTTCTTGTCGTCGTCTAAACTAGCACAAAATCGTCACTGAAAACCTCAATTTTGACATACTGAAATATGTGACTAATACGAACAATTTCCCTTAAAGAATTAGTTAAAATATTGGAAAAAAATGTCTCAAAGTAATTTACCCCGTCGTATCTCCAGTCAATTACAGTACCTTTACTTCCTTTAGGAAAACTGTTAAGCTGTTATTTATAATGGATAATTTTTGCTAGAAATTACCTCAGCAATGTCGATATCAATTGTATAAGGTAATTCAGCGACATCGTTCGTATGTGGAATGAGTCTATCGACTTCCGCAATTCAGTTTTTACATTCCCTTTGTCGATATAATTCAGCTGAATTATATGCGACACTTATATCAGAGATATTTAGACTATAAGAACAAGTCAATTAACAAATATATTTGTCATAAGAAGTGCTGACGTAAGTACCTATTTATTGATAATTATTGAGTCCCCGCATGAGTGCGAACTACGATTTTGAATCAGAACTTTACAGAAAAAGAAGTAAGGACTTACAAAAATTCATTGAGCATATCAGACAGACTTCAATTTTATAGAGTTTTAGAAAATTAATTTGGTATGTCTACCACATAAACAACTAAAAAATTATGACATCAACAAAAGTGCATCAAACTGCAACAACTTACAGACACTGCTCAATACCATTAGTACAGCCATCTCTGAATAAGCAATGAGCTGCAGTAAGAATCCACTTTCTGTCAATTATTGAGCCACCACATACATGTATACCAAGAAATTGAAGGGAGACCTTACAGAAAATAAAATAAGTAAATAATCCATAAATTAATTGAGCATATTACACGGACTTCAACTTTATAAAGAGTTTTAGAAAATTAATTTGCCTAATTTACCTTCCACATAGGTCTACAGGAAAAGCTGCGGCAAATTATGCGTCGCTTTTCAGAAAACGCATTCCCGAGAAACTGCTCAAATATTCACAGGAATTTCAACAAACAAATATTGTGTACTTGGTCCGAACCTGCCAAATATTAGAACATGCCCCTTAAGAATTGATGGATACTTACCATAAAAGGGAATTGTCCTGGGTGGGCAAAGGTTCCATTTATAACACGTCGGGTAGCTTTTGATAAACTAGCATCAAACAAAATACAAATTCCAATAATTACATAAACATTAAGATGAATCATCTTATGAATACTGTAAGAAAGATTTCTTGGTTGTATAATATTTAAAAATAGTTTATTTGCTTAACCGGTGGTAGTAAAACTTTTATTGTGCCTATTATGTGAATAGGTACATACTTCGATTTGTGCTGAAATAGTCATTGTTTTTGATATCCAACTATTTCAGGTGCAAGACACTAATTACGATTTTAAAGTAATGTTATTACATAGCACCGTTTTATTTTGTAATAATTACTAAAATACTACTACAAGTAATGTCTATGTACAGCGTACAACTAGAAACCTATAAAAGGCTTTAAAATTATGTATGTACGCAGTTATCATTAACATTAAACTGCTCCGGGGGCTTCCTTGAATTGTAAACCAGTTTTGTTCTTAATCCAATTGATATATGCTGAAACTCTTGTGAACACATCAGGGTTTCCTGGCGAAGCACAGGGTTTTTGGGACCACGAATTAATTCCCGCTTGGTGTCTATTCACCACAAATGGACCACCTGCATCGCCCTGGTATAAAGAAAGAAAAGTAGGAAACAACGTTCGCTAATTGCTANCCAGGCTTTCCAGGAGAAGCGCAGGGTTTATCGGACCACGAAACAATTCCCACTTGGTGCCCGTTTACGACTAGTGGACCTCCGGAGTCGCCCTAACACAATATAAAGGAAGAGTTATAAAAAACTTGATGTGGCAATAGAATGAGACAATTATTACTTACCGAACATTGACCTTTACCCCCGTGAACCAATCCTGCGCATATGTGAACTGCAGGATTTAAGACGCTGCTGTTGTACGAGTTAATACAGTAACTGCTGTCGAATACTTCGATTGCAGTGTACTGCAGAGTGTCAGGGACGGTGCCGTTTGTCTTAAAAAAAGTAATTGGAAATTAACTATTCCAACAGACAAAGTGTCGACTGGTAATTCGAAAAACGAAAACCTCAGGGTGCAGAGTCTATTTTTAATTTACCTTGTTGTATCCCCATCCAACCAGAATTCCTCTAGTTCCTAAGGCGAAAGTTCTTTCACGGGTATTGAGAAGAATTGGATTTGCTAAGCCATTAATTTCTATTTCATCTTCTAGCTGCAATCACACGCATTACATTCAAGTAACTGATTAAGTAAAATACTGAAACGAAGCGGCCTAAACGGGCGAACTACTACAAACAGCGTAGTGAACGCCATCTGTGGGATCCAAAAATCTTCATAGCGATCAATATTCTGTTTTGATAGAATACTGACCATCAGGAACGTTTTTTTAGTGTAAACAATTTTCGATATCATGTAATAAGACCAGTACTTATTTATAGGATGTTGGTCAGTAATTTTCGGAACTAGCTGATGTGGATCTCTTTTCGAACTTGTTAGATCTCATCAGCACGCCATAAGCGGTATCGATAAACCACTGAGCTAACCGAGGATGCTATAAACAAAATGAAAAGAGATAATCGAATAGTAATAAGCGGTGCAGCGGTTAGAGGTTGCTTAGCTACGCAAAAGACCAGGGTCGGCTTTAAAACTGTTTGGTTGGAATTATATCTTTAAACAAGTGTCTTTGCTTTCCTAAATTACTGATAATGTTGGACTTCCTTTATGCTGAAATTCTGCATCTCTTTTTGTTGCACGTTAATTGGTATAATGCTATTCGTTTTTTTGTGCCCGCTGCAATTCCTACCTGACATCTCTTTTCTAATGTTTACAATATTCCCTCCTACAGTTCCTTCAGGATAAACTGTTTCACGGACAGTTAGCCGAATTTGCTTCACAAATTCATTCAGTTTTAGGTGCTTTTCTAGCTGTAATAGTAACACGGTGCAAGTACTTCAAAAATTGAAACGCTTAGGCCAGCGGTTCCCAATTTTTCTTTTCCGCGGAAACCTTTTTGACTCACCGTTTTTTTGGTGGAACCCCATCTCAATAAAAAAGTAAAAGTTTTAAAATACACATTTTTACACTATTTTGTATAAGCGCATATAATAATAATAATAAATAAACGTACACGATATATCCTAATGTCTATCCTCTCATCTAGCATCTAAGTACATTTCTTTCACAAAAATACCGCTACTTGTCCCTATCATAAAATGGGTTAGGGTTTGACCTTTTGTTACTGGTTTGGTCATGAAAAATATGCTATTGTTGTTACCGTTAAATACAGAATGGTTGGTTTTCCCACAATTTTGTATATTTTTATTAGAATCCCTCGGAACCCCTGTGACCCTTCCACCATTTGGGAACCTGCTGGCTTAGTCTTCTGTTCATATGCACATAATTAGCAATCTACTAAGTTTATATAGTGAACCAGTTATTTATTATAAATCATTTTGATCACAAATTACCTTAATAAGACCAATATCATGTTCAGAAAGGGAACCATCTGGCTTCTCAAAATCTTCATGTGGAATGAGTTGATCAACTTCCACAAATAAATTTTCACCCATTCCTTCTTCATATAATTGAACTGAACCATATACTACACGAATTTCAGACAAATTTATGCTATAAGAAAAAATCAATTAAAAAATGTTCTGCACACAATAGATGTGCATTGATGTCACAACTTACGGACAACTAGCAATAGAGGGGCAAATTATGCAATGAGCTGCCGTAAGAATCCATTTGGTCTTAATTATTGTACCACAACATTTATGTGACTTTTTATGTTGAATGGAGACCTTACACAAAATAAAATAAGGACTTACATGAATTAACTGAACACATTAAGACTTCAGTTTTATAGTTTCACTAAATTAATTGGCTGTACGAAACGCATTGCGGCCAATATAAATAAATAAATTTGTGAATTTTAAGAAACAACTGCTACCCTTACCCACTTGATCCCAGAATGATGTGTCCGGTTTGATAAACGTATTAGAACAAGATTTCTTAAAAATTAGTGGATATTTACCATAAATGGGAATTGTCCTGGGCAAGCAAAGGTTCCATTTATAATACGCGGAGTAATTTTTGATAAATTAGAATCGCCTATCCGACTAAACAAAAAAAATATTCCAACAATGACATAGCTGATAAGAGAAACCATTTTATGAATGCAGTTGTTCAACCAATGGGATAAAAAGAAATTGCTTTTTGTAAGAAAGATTTCTTGCTTGTTATATAATGCTTCAAACCGTTTATTTGCTTAACTGTGGTAGTAAAACTTTTATTGTGCCTTTTATGTGAATAGGTACATCCTTCCATTTGGTCTGAAACAGCCATTGTTTTTGATATCCGACTATTTCAGGTGTAAGACACTAATTACGATTTTAAAGTAATGTTATTACATAGCACCGTTTTATTTTGTAATAATTACTAAAATACTACTACAAGTAATGTCTATGTACAGCGTACAACTAGAAACCTATAAAAGGCTTCAAAATTATGAATGTACGCAGTTATCTTTAACATTAAACTGCTCCGGGGGCTTCCTCGAATTGTAAACCAGTTTTGTTCTTAATCCAATTGATATAAGCTGAAACTCTTGTGAACGCACAGGGTTTTTGGGACCACGAATTAATTCCCGCTTGGTGTCTTTTCACCACAAATGGACTACCTGCATCGCCCTGGCATAAAGTAAGAAAAGTAGGAAACAACATTCGCTAATTGCTATTCCTTATTACTTACAATACAAGAACCTCTGCCTCCGTTAGATACTCCTGCACATATCTGAAGTGATGGGGATATTTGTTCGTTGTCGTCGTATAAACTACCACAATAATCATCACTGAAAGTATTAATTTCGGCATATTGAAGACATGATGCAGACAGAGGATTTCCCTTAAAAAAATGAATACTAATTAAAATATTGAAAAAACATATCTCAAAGTAATTTACGATGTCGTATCCCCAGCCCATCACACGTCCTTCAGTTCCTTCAGGATAAACTGTTTCACGGACAGTTAGCCGAATTTGCTTCACAAATTCATTCAGTTTTAGGTGCTTTTTGAGCTGTAATAGTTACACGGTATAAGTACTTCAAAAATTAAAACCTTTAGGCCAGGGGTTCCCAATTTTTCTTTTCCACGAAACCCTTTTTGACTCACCTTTTTTTGGTGGAACCCCATCTCAATAAATAAGTAAACTGATAAAAGTTTTAAAATGCACATTTTCACACTGCTTTGTATAAGCGCATATAATAATAACAATAATAAATAAACGTACAAGATATATCGTAATGTCTATCCTCTCATCTAGCATCTAAGTACATTTCTTTCACAAAAATACCGCTACTTGTCCCTATCATAAAATGGGTTAGGGTTTGACCTTTTGTTACTGGTTTGGTCATGAAAAATATGCTATTGTTGTTACCGTTAAATACAGAATGGTTGGTTTTCCCACAATTTTGTATATTTTTATTAGAACGATAAATGCTGTATCCCTCGGAACCCCTGTGACTATTTCAGGTGCANATATCTACTTGCTGAAACGAATCCCGGCGTAGCTAACCTCAACGTGATAGGCACGTTACCATAATCGAATAAAATAATTCGAAGTGGTCTGTATTCTGTCGAAACTGCCAGACGCGGATCGCGATTTCGATCTTTTTGGATCTCATCAGCGCGTCCCAGGCAGCTCCGACAGGACACAGACCAATTTTTACCTGCTGTCTTAACAGCGCGTTTTAGAAAATACCACAAATGGCGCGGAAAACGCCATCTGCAGTACGATGTCTTAAAGTGATTTACTGCGTCTCGTCCGCAGCCACGTAGCTGTATTTTAGCTCCTTCGGGAAAAACGGTCCAAAGGAAATAAAGAGGAACACAATTCACCAAATCACTCAACTTTGATTTCTCTTCTAGCTGTAATGGTAAAGTAGGTATATATTTTTTTTCTCGATTGACACATGGTTGTTTAAATATCGACATACTAAGAAACAGGATTTAATGTTGGTTGCTTTATTAACAGCTAATGCCGAAACAAGTAGAAAAAATTCTTGCATGACGCTCCCTTATCAATGTAAAAGAAAAAAGCTGTAATTGTTAATTCCAATACGGTGTATTCTTATATATTTCTATCATACATATGTATATCGTAATGTGTACCATTTTTTGTCACATTTTGTCATATTTTAGAAGGTGTCAAACGTTTTTTATTAATTAAATAAATTGTTAATCATGGCATTCAAATATCTCATCTGCAACATGTTTTTATCATCTTTCAGTAGACGGCTTACCACATTGCCATCCCGTTCTAATACGTTTGACCTTTCACGTGTTATTGTAAAAAATTGTTTGTTTCTTATCTGTTTTACGGAGTTTATTAGCATTAGTCTATTTCGTGTCGTGTTTCGGTTCGTGAGTGAAAGAATATGTGCTGTTGGACGAAGCTTAATTTAGTACAAAAGCTTTTATTTCTTTGAAATAGCAGTAGAAAAATTTGATTTTTTTAAACATGTACCTATATAGTTTCACTAAATTAATTGGCTATACGAAAAATTGCGGGCAAAACGCATTGCGGCCAATAAAAATAAATAAGTTTGTGAATTTTAAGAAACAATTGTTACCCTTACCCACTTGGTCTCAGAATGATGTGTCGGGTTTGGTAAACGTATTAGAACATGGTTTCTTAAAAATTAGTGGATATTTACCATAAATGGGAATTGTCCTGGGCAAGCAAAGGTTCCATTTATAATACGCGGAGTAATTTCTGATAAATTAGAATCGCCTATCCGACTAAACAAAAAAAATATTCCAATAGTTACATAGCTGGTAAGAGGAACCATTTTATGAATGCAGTTGTTCAACCTATGGCATAAAAAGAAATTGCTTTTTGTAAGAAAGATTTCTTGCTTGTTATATAATGCATAAAATAGTTTATTTGCTTAACTGGTGGTAATAAAACATTTATTGTAGCTATTATGTGAATAAGTACATACTTCGATTTGTGCTGAAATAGTCATTGTTTTTGATATCCGACTATTTCAGGTGCAAGAAGTTAATTATGATTTTAAAGTATGTTATTACATAGCACCGTTTTATTTTGTAATAATTACTAAAATACTACTACAAGTAATGTCTATGTACANTGATACAACATGTCACAAATTACTATATTTAATAATTTAACATACCACCTTGCCAGATAAATTAATATCGATTAGATAGTGTCCAAAAAGTGATAGATAAAATTAGCTTATAATTTTCAGTGTTTCGAAGTCTAATAGAAACCCTAAAGTACTCGCAAATAAGGGGTAGATCGAAAACAATTCGTAATAAGTATGCTGTTTCGTGGGATACAAAGGACAATATCCCTATTTGATGTTTGTATCAAAACCTGTATCGGAAAATCTGTCACTTTTTTTTTGAAATTGAATTTATCTCATTTCATATCTATTGGTGGGAAGGAAGAATGTGTATGCAATCAAAATTTGCAACATCACTAGCCAAACTGTCTATTTTACTTGTAAATATCTTTGGGATTGTTAATAATTAATACTAAATGTTTCTCAGTTACTTTAGTTAAAAGTTCTACAGTTTCGTAGTCTCGAAAACAAGCAAAATTATTTCTCACAATGTGATAAAAATTTGTGAATTCCAAGTAGAAATACCAGAAACATCTTTAGAATTTTATATTCTGTCACGTATTAAAAATCTACTGAAGAGCTATATGTAAGCAGTTACTTCTGGTTTGGTTTTATTTTAAGAATTGGTTGTAGAGTATTTACGATAAATTTGAGATTATTATCTATATTACAATCTACTACTTCAGAAAAGATAAGATACATTACTATGCAGGTATTCATTGAATTTTAAAGAATTAGAAATCAGGAAGCCATTACAAACAATAAAGTACTATTTAATTAAGTTTCTTATCTTTGGAAAAAAGAAAAGAATAGTAACGATTCACAGAATTTATTCGAATACTTGGCAAATCTTTTTTGGCCATTAACTGTAGTAAATATATAAAATTATCCACTGTAATCTTCAAGGAGCGGACGTCATTTGTACATGACGTCGTTGCCAGGGACGTACTTACTAGGTGCTTGTTATTATTATATATTTTAAATTAAGAAACTGTGTATCAGTTGGTATACCCTATATAAACTGGATACGAAAATAAAACAAACGAAACATCACTAACATTTATTGTATCTTATTGCTTTATTGGTGCGAAAATCGTCTAATTTTACAAGTACATTAACTTTTATATAATGAAATACCAGTTTTATCATAAATCCAATCAATATATGTGGAAACTCGTGTAAAAACTCCAGGCTTTCCAGGAGAAGCGCAGGGTTTATCGGACCACGAAACAATTCCCACTTGGTGCCCGTTTACGACTAGTGGACCTCCGGAGTCGCCCTAGCACAATATAAAGGAAGAGTTATAAAAAACTTGATGTGGCAATAGAATGAGACAATTATTACTTACCGAACATTGACCTTTACCCCCGTGAACCAATCCTGCGCATATGTGAACTGCAGGATTTAAGACGCTGCTGTTGTACGAGTTAATACAGTAACTGCTGTCGAATACTTCGATTGCAGTGTACTGCAGAGTGTCAGGGACGGTGCCGTTTGTCTTAAAAAAAGTAATTGGAAATTAATTATTCAAACAGACAAAGTGTCGACTGGTAATTCGAAAAACGAAAACCTCAGGGTGCAGAGTCTATTTTTAATTTACCTTGTTGTATCCCCATCCAACCAGAATTCCTCTTGTTCCTAAGGCGAAAGTTCTTTCACGGGTATTGAGAAGAATTGGATTTGCTAAGCCATTAATTTCTATTTCATCTTCTAGCTGCAATCACACGCATTACATTCAAGTAACTGATTAAGTAAAATACTGAAACGAAGCGGCCTAAACGGGCGAACTACTACAAACAGCGTAGTGAACGCCACCTGTGGGATCCAAAAATCTTCATAGCGATCAATATTCTGTTTTTATAGAATACTGACCATCAGGAACGTTTTTTTAGTGTAAACAATTTTCGATATCATGTAATAAGACCAGTACTTATTTATAGGATGTTGGTCAGTAATTTTCGGAACTAGCTGATGTGGATCTCTTTTCGAACTTGTTAGATCTCATCAGCACGCCATAAGCGGTATCGATAAACCACTGAGCTAACCGAGGATGCTATAAACAAAATGAAAAGAGATAATCGAATAGTAATAAGCGGTGCAGCGGTTAGAGGTTGCTTAGCTACGCAAAAGACCAGGGTCGGCTTTAAAACTGTTTGGTTGGAATTATATCTTTAAACAAGTGTCTTTGCTTTCCTAAATTACTGATAATGTTGGACTTCCTTTATGCTGAAATTCTGCATCTCTTTTTGTTGCACGTTAATTGGTATAATGCTATTCGTTTATTTGTGCCCGCTGCAATTCCTACCTGACATCTCTTTTCTAATGTTTACGATATTCCCTTCCTACAACGTCTGTCGTGAGTAAAAGTAGGCGCTCTATCAGCAACCGCTCTAGTATTATTGCGGATTATGCCAATTTTGAACGTCCCAACTACATTTACTTGCCTATCTGAAACTATGACGTAGATTAACAGCGGCGTGCTGATGAGACAAGTAGAAACCGCACCTTAGCATTGCCCTTGTCTAATATTTGAAGTACTTTAGTGGGCAGAAGGTAATTTAGGGACAAATACACATAAACTGATACCATACTCACCTCAATAACGCCAATGTCGTTTTCATAGCCTCCGTAATCTTGATAATTCTCATGTACGATTGCTCTCGCGACTTTTGCGGTATTGTTTACAGGATTTCTACCATTTTGTAAGTGAATTGTTCCATACAAAATTGTCATAAGTGAGACGTAACTGTAAACATTTTTGTTAGTGAAATACTTTCGTTATGAATTTCTGTGTAACTGTAGGATATGCACAGTGTTACTACTTAAAACGAATTTTTTAAAATCGCCCTTACTTCACTAGTATGCAATGGGCTGCAGTAAGAATCCATTTGCTGCTAATTATGGTACCACCGCAGTTATGGGAACCCCTGTATTTTACTGAAACCTTTTACGTAGAAACATTAAATAAACGGTTAAATATATTATTAATAAAGTACAATAAGTTTGAGAAGATGTAACATGAGATATGCATCGATGTTTCGAACATGTGCACATAGATGGCGGTATATTGTCAGTTATTTGATACTGTTTGTTGGGAACAACCGATTTGATCAATGATTTATCGATATAACTATGATAAATAAAAATAAATGATTCGGTATGACAATTATAAAAACATAAGCGATGGACATTTAAGATTCTGAAATAATTAATAATGAGATGGAATTTTACCATAAACGGAAACTGCCCAGTTTTCGTATCTTCGCCATTTACAATGCGTGTGCTATCGTCTAGAGCTAGAAGAAAATAATTTTATTGATTAATGTTATTCAAAATGTGAAGGTTATATTATTTTTTAACTAACTCTAACATGAAATTAAAAAATTGTATCTTTTTGCACTTTTACAGTTCTTGGACGTACCAATATTTTGCCTGTACGGAAGCACTGAACCTAATAAGATAAAAAACCCTATATTTAGATAAACATGACTTACCAGAAATCTCGCTCAATATTGCAAAAGAAACAATGACTGCGAAAATTGACAACTTCATAGCTGTTTTGCACAGTTCGCGTAATCATCAAAACTAAAAGTGATGCAGGAATTTGATTTTAATTTTAAAGTACTTCTGATACGATATTTCACTTATCTAAATATCTACTGGTATCAGTCCTTTGAGCTACTCGTACTGCAAGTATATCTGTTAAAATAACTTAATTTCCAGTGATAAAATTTATATCTATTACCTATTTGAGAAAAACAACGAGGCACTGATTGTATATTGCATATGTACGGTACAACTGTGATATCTTTCTAATCTTATATTAATGTAAATAGACTTTGTATATAAAGGGTCCCTTTTTGACTTTTCAATCCCTTTTGTACGACAATATTTCAAATAACTGCAGAAACGCTAATTTATTTATTTTTTAATCAGTTCATCAATCATTATTGCAGCAGATTTCAGACGATATCTAGTTTATAACGCGCCATTCGACGTGTTTTAGCGGTTTATCGCCTGCATTTAGAGATATATTTTTGTGATTACTATACGACTCAAAACATTCATTAAATCATATTTAGCTGTTATTTGTTATTAATTTCATTCGAATAGAAACAATAAAAACACAACTCAACGAATTTTGTGGAAGTATGTACTTGACCTCATCTACTCAGTAAAATTTCAATTTGATTTGTCTCTCTCTGTATCCACTCCTGAGAAAAAAGATCTTGATTCTTGACGAGCCGGAGCGACTTGTTCCATTTTATCTAACTTAATAATTAATTTTGGATTAAAAAGCTGATGGTTAACTATATGTACCTACATTCTTCTATAAAGTTACATCTTCTTTCTTGATATTGGAAATAGAAAGAAAAGGTAAATGTCTAGTTGATGGCCCCCACCCCTTTGGGTGGTGGATGGGATCGAAAAGGAGGTTTCCCCCACCACTGTACCATAAAAAGATCGCGGTGGTCTCACCCCCATTAAAAGTTATGAGGTTAGATGGGGGTGGGGGTAGGGGGGATCGAAAGAGGGTGGTCACCTGAGTAAAACCTCATAAAAAATTTGTGGCGGTCTCACCCCCATAAAAAGTTATGGGGGTTGAAAGTTGATTATTTTGACAATTTTCATACACTATAATTCAATAAAAAAATTATTTTCAAGCGGGTGGAAGTGGGGATCGAATGAGGGTGGTCACTTGAACAAAACCCGATAACCTAACCTAACCTACCCTATTGATAAAGATATTTAAATAATGTTTTATATAACTTTCTCAATATTTTTATGTATTTTTCATTAGTTTTACCTTTGAATATTGTTTAAGAATGACTATATAAATATTTACATGCCTAGAAATGTATAAAAATTGGCATATTTATTAACTTCGAATCCCTATAACTTTTTATGGGGGTGAGACCGTCATGAACTTTTTATGGTACAGTGGTGGGGGAGACCTCCTCTTTCGATCCCCCCATCCCCATCCCCGAAAGAAAATTGCGTTATCTCTCTGGATGATTGTTTAATATTCTGAATGAGCGAACAAATGTCGGTTATGGAACTACAAACGCGGCCTGTTCACAACTCAATTGATTTTCCTTGTGCCAAATTGAATGGATGTAGTCTTGTGAACGCGTGTTTACGTGGCCTATATTGCATTCGAAGTTCCTGGTACAGAATCGGTAGCAACATCGACAACAGCTAGTGCTGGTCCACCTACGTATACCTACATTAAACTGTAGAATGGTAGGTAGGCAGCAGGTAGCTTGTGGCCGGGGCAACAGAATTGCAACAGGCATTACCAGAGGCGTTATCATGAAACTTATGTGAGAGTCAAGGATCAAAATTAAAGAAAAAGGAAAACCATAAGGTATCATCGTATCAAGTAGGAGGTACTGATGACTACATGTTGATGCAAAGTATAGTGGGAAGATATGATAGAAGATCATTAGGAATCGAATGAAATATTGAAGATGAAGATAGCAAAATGAAAAAAATTACATGAAAATTTGGATAAACTAAGCAAAGCTGGAGCCCGGAGTAGAACCGGTGTCATCCCGAATGCTAAGCTAGATAGTGTTGATGTAGTAAGTCTCATGTAGCTACTGAGCTTCGGTTTAAAGGGTTACAGAGAAATTGAGAATAAAAACGAATGATTGTTTTTGGAGTGTGTGATACAAAATTTGTTCATTATCTTCATAATATGTGGAGGGTGTAGTTCGAAGAGTGGTTGACAATTCTTTTCTACCCTGAGCCAATCTTCGCATTTTTTTAAGACAAGAGCCTCTGACATCTCTAGCAATCTTCTAATAATAAGTCTTTAATTAGCCCTTCGTCTCTCAGAATGTGCCCTAGCATATTTCGTCAGCTTAACTTCCCATGCGTCAAAAATCTTAACTAGAATTGTACAGAGTAGGATGGAAAAAAGGGCGGAAGAACTGTAAGCAAGATAAGTTGCTAGGACACCATCTCAGGCATGAAGGTCTAGTCAGAGACATATTAGAGACAGAAACAGGAGTTAGGAGGGGTAGAGGTAGACCTAGATTAGATAACTGTTCGGAAATAGTTAATGATGTGGGTTATTCTAGTTTGAGGATAGGAAGGAGTGGAAGTGCGTGTACAACCAGTCTTAGGACTGACGACGTTATGACGATCCGATTGCGATTTTTCGTTGATGTCCTTTAGGCGAGTAATTTGTGTTAGGGAATAACTTTGGATACGACACTGTGAAAATAGTTGAATATATGGAAAAGGAAAATTCGAGTGAAAGAGAGGAAAATAGGGCGAATGAGAGTGGGGTTTGCCCGTGACACGATATTAACCCACTTTCCATCTATCTACTCTCGTGCGCCGCGAGAAACGGATTTTAACGGCTGCGGCGTATCTTCATTTACTCCCTGTGCCCATGCACCGGCGGAACAAGCCAACTACTAATCGGAAAGTTTATATTTTATACGATGGCACCCAAAACGTGCTGAATTTACTCGAATTTTGGGAGCATAAGGAAAATTATGACTTCTAATTTCACGAAACGGATTAAGAGAAACGTAATTGACGGGGATGCTTCTAATTCATTTACGTATTTTAGGGGAAATCATCAAGGTTTTTGCCTATAATTGTCACAAACCTTTACATTCGTCTTAATGCAATTGAAACTTTTGTTTGTGTGCAATTTTCAAATCACCACATAGTATAAAACAAAGTCGCTTTCCCGCTGTCTGTCCCTATGTATGCTTAAATCTTTAAAACTACCCAACGGATTTTGATGCGCTTTTTTTTAAAAGATAGAGTGATTCAAGAGGAAGGTTTATATGTATAATACATGCATAATATAGCAGGGAAACACTGATAATTTTAGAGGTTTCTAATGTGATGTCGTAAATAAACACATTTTTTGCGCTTACATTGCAAACGCTGGCTGAACCCTACGAGATCAAACTAATGTACTACGATATTGTACATCTTAAAAGTGTCTATATAAAGACATTCTGTAGTATATTTAGTATGTTCAGGGGGTATTTTTGAAGATTTCCCCTTTTCGATAATAATCTAAACAAAACAAAAATATATTTAGTATCAACATTGCACCCGTGCGAAGCTGGGGCGGGTTACTAGTAAATAATGAACGAAAGCTTTAATAACATCAAGTTTGATAATTTTGATGGCGCAATTCCAAAAAGAAGACTGAGAAGAGTCTTCCGCCTTATTCTCCGGCTCTACACTGAAGTTTAGGTCGAAGGAAAGAAAAGTTTCTTTTTTGTTAAACCAAGGGTGCCTTTGGTTGGTCGATATTATTATGTTTTAGGTGTATTAGATTGCACGCCTATTATACGTACATATATTATAAGCTAGATATTCACAAAGTTCACTTGGTTGTTCAAAATTTCAGCGAGCGTGAATTACCTTGTTCATTCTTCACCTTTGAACTGTGCATAAATATTATAAATTAATAATAATAATGCAAAGATATAGTAGGTACATTAATGTGTTCGTTGCGAACTTTACGAGAAATTCACAAACAAAACGGCGTTGGAGGTGTTGCTAGGTAACAAGTTGTATGTAGGTAGGTACATTGCAGGCAACGATGGATTTCTTCTAAATATTTATGACACAGAAAACACGTAAAAATCATTGATACGAAAAGAATGAAACAAATAGATACAGATGATTTTTTGGATAAAGAAGAAACACAACAGATGAGAATATTGTTCATTGAATTTTATGTTTCTTTTTATAATAATAAAATAATTCGAAGTGGTCTGTATTCTGTCGAAACTGCCAGACGCTGATCGCGATTTCGAACTTTTTGGATCTCATCAGCGCGTCGCAGACAGCTCCGACAGAACACAGACCAACTTTTACCTGCTGTCTTAACAGCGCGTTTTAGAAAATATCACAAATGGCCCGGTAAACGCCATCTGCCGTGCCATTTGTGGTATTTTCTCATATTCCAACTTATTTCACGAAATACTGTGGTTATCAGTAAATACCAGAAGATGGCGCTATATGATCAACAACCTGCTTTTATGCAGCAGCAGTTTTAGATTGATTATACAAATACAGAACTAATTACGGTTTTTGTAATTTGTTATAAGTTATTATGAGTACTTGCTATAAGTTCTTATCAATTTCAGTTTAATAAATGCGTGCCCATAAACTGTAGAATGTTTTTGATAATTGCAGTTGTTTGATTACAAAAACAAATTAAGTTGGTGCCGCGCTAGACGTTGCTTTTGTAGCAATTATTATCGTGCAGTCGTGTGCCACTTTTGCTCTGCGTAGGTAACAAATTAAGTAGTGTTCTTTGAAAATGTGCCAACTGTTACTCGACGTTCAAAAGAGAGCATACAATTGAATATGTAATTCTAAAGGTGTTTCACAATCGGAAAAAGAAAACTTCTAGCAATTCAGGATTTCGAATTACTTTGTAGAACACAGCACGACATCGCGTTTAAAAGCTGACATGTCAATAAATTATTGACAGTGTATTACTTACTATATGTATTTCATGATAGAACTAACATTAAGAAAAGTAAATGCTCAAGCCTTTGTATTTGACATCATAGTTGTCGGTGGTTTTAAATCCAATAGAGGTCCATCTTCAATATCAACTGAAATGCCTAGTAAATTTATTTCTGCTGGGATGTCATTTTTACAAATTCGGGTCTAAATTGTAATTTTTATTATTTTCGCTTACGAAGCAACGGGATAGTGGGATAAATTGTAAATATCGCTTTAATATTTAAGTAAATTTTCCTTTTTCATTTTCTCTGTGATGACATATCGCAGTATGTTATTTTTATTTGGATAAATTTATGATTGCACGCTTCATAGTTCACATCCTTGACGTTATAACTCCAGGATAACAGAATTACTCTGAGTTTAGACCGATGCATTTGCCTGACGCAGTTGGTGGCATTGCGACGCTAGTGCCGACGGCGTCTGTAATACGATGAAGATTGCCCATGACACATGACCCATCATCAGCCCTACTGCGCTATGTTGCGGTATATTTCCATTTGGATCTACGCTTACATTAGGATTGCAAATTAATAGTTTTCGAAGGCAAATTATAATGTTTACCGGGTAAACTTGATTTGCCACGTAGTTGATGCTGCAAGCTGATCGTAGAAAATTACACTGATTCACGTCGCATTTCCACGTTTAAAATTATTCTGTTATTGATACATACGTTTTTATAATACATTAGTAGTTATTTTGTTTCAGTACTAAAATAAATAAAATCACAACATTTATCTAACGAAATTAATTAGGTATATCGTGAAACCCTTATGACGACATAGGTTTATTTTTACGTTGAACATTTTCATCTTTTCAAACTTTTATTTTAAGTAGTTCATAGACCTAATGTGTATGTTTGGAGCACGGCGTTGTACGGGTGCGAAACATGGATAGTGGGCGCGGCGGAAAAGAAAAGGTTAAAAGCGTTCGAAATGTGGTGTTATAGGCGGATGATGAGGATATCGTGGGTAGAAAAGGTTAGAAATGAAGAGGTATTGGAAAGAATAGGAGAACAGAGGGCTCTATGGAAGTCAATAAAAAATAGGCGAGATAGGTTGGTAGGTCACCTTCTCAGGCATGAAGGTCTAGTCAGAGACATATTAGAGGCAGAAACAGGAGTTAGGAGGGGTAGAGGTAGACCTAGATTAGATTACTGTTCGCAAATAGTTAAGGATGTGGGCTGTTCTAGTTTTAGAGAAATGCGAAGTTTAGCTCAGGATAGGAAAGAGTGGAGGTACGTGTCCAACCAGTCTTAGGACTGACGACCTTATGATGATGATGAGACCTTATACTAATTAGCAAGCTAGTTGTTTTGGTAGAAGTATTACATAATCGGTAAACTAGTTAAATGCGTTAGTTAATTAGCTTGCATCTTCTATATGTATATAGTTTTTAAGCTAATTGGACGGTACAGAAGCTTATCCAAAATCTTTTTAATGAAAAGGTGATGTTCTGCAAAGAAAATTGTATTAGTTACTTCTTTATATATTAACCAATAAATTGGTCGTTTTGCACTAGTGGATATTTAGTTTATTAATTTTTAATGCAAAGTACATACATATAAAATTATTTTGTGGAAAATTTAATTTAACTTAAGTAAATTCAAATGGTTGATAACGTCTAAGTTTTTAGAAAAACAGGTACAGAGACGAATCTTTTAAATTGTGAGGAAAGAGAATGGCGCAAATCCATTCACTTAATTGTGACAACGATGTAGCTAACGCTAGAGGAAAATTTCATGAGAAAGTTTCATTAGCTTTAAAATCCTCGTTGATTATGTCGGAAGGCGTCGTTTTTAAATTGACGCTAAGCGTTGCATTGTAGAACTGATGTTGTTTTGTATTTTTTAATAAAAACGGAGCATCCGTTTTAGGTCACATTAAATTAACGAAAAAGAAAAACTGATTCGATAAATGGAAAGATAATAATTAGTAATACGAAGTAATGTAAATTGTTATATTAGCAATATATTAGGATTGTGTTATTGTATTCTGCAAGTAACAACAACAAATTTCGTTGTACATAATGTACAGATATGTTTAAGTAAATGTACCTGCTTATTAATTTATGCAAATATCACAGGCTTTTCAGTTTTCCATCTTTTATGTTTAAAACGGAAAACTCAGAAGAAAACGATTGAAATGAATTTGGATAAGTACGATTGCAGAAAATCAATTACTTCGACTGGAGCATTGTTCATTATGTCTAGGTATAGGTACAGTTAGATGCAAATAATTTGTACTACAACTTCAGCACTGCATTTAATTGATTAGATTTTCAAAAGTTTGGGTTGTTTTTGTGACAATATGAAGCAACAAGTTTGGGAGATAGTGCTGATAGAGTATCAGTAAATTGGTAACTTTTGAAGTGAAAGTTTACGATTTCTCTTAGCTATACAGGTGCCATTTCCGTTGCATGTTGCGCGCGCAACTTCATTTACAGCCTGTGCATACGATTTCCGTTGCATGTTATAATTTTACATTCTACGCGCTAAAACATTTAGAAATTAAATGAGTAAAAATAGGTTAAATTGACTGACAAGAATTAATTTATTCGAATTTGTGGTCCAACGTTTCGGTTTTAAAAATAATTTTCCATCAATTTTACTATTGTTTATATGCCCGATTTTGGATTGTTCAGTTCATAGGAGCTTTTTGGGGTAGTATATTATTATAGCATATATACAGATACGTAGATTTTTAGTGTTAACAAAGAATTATCACCACCTTTCTTAGGAATTTCTATAGGAATTATTACATAGGAAAATGAGAACTGCAAGGAGATGTAAAATTAAAAAACTGAATGTCGCCTTCAATACGTAAAGGATAAATAGAGATTGAAAGGATAATATAAAAAATGGGTTACAAATGTTGATGATGGTTTTATTTACGACCGACAGGTCGAGCTGTCACAGCGTTGAATTATTTCTGATGTATCTTTTCACCTACTATTCCGGCGCGACGTCGACGCCGTTATCATATTTAGATGAGGAAAGCTCAAGGCCTAAAAATTGCAGGTGAAGACGTACCTAGACGAATGTACATAGGTAGATACCTGTGTATATAAACGTGTTTATATAACAGATGTATGTGTGTGGCCAAACGAAAGGTTCAAGCAAGCGCGTCAGGCACCTGTTATCCGGGACAACAGTCGTCGCGCAGCCCCTAGACCAAAGCGTCGGGACGCGGTATTTCGGCGTTCGCAACAGGTAGCCCTACGGTGCATGTGCGCGAGCCGTTCGCTTCTAGTCCGACCTACGGTGGCAGTTAATTAATTTCTTAATTACTGTGCGTTCTTTGGCTTGCTTTTTACTCGTTTTTTCTTTGTGAATTTTGTTCGAGTGACAACTGAGTAGAGAAAGTGACGCGACGGCAGTTTTTGGACAGTTTTGGGTGAGTTAGTTGAATCAAAAAACGCACTCGTCAACTCACTGTAATCATTCACTTTCTTTTTTTTTTTAGTTTTATTTTAATCATCAAAACACAATAAACTCAAGGAATGAAATTTTTTAAAGTGGGTACAATAAATATTTAAGATAAAATTATTGATATGATAACTGCAGCGTTGACCGCTTCTAAAGTGTCTGCTACATACAATTTACTTTAAAATAATAGTTGGGACTTATTATATTATAGATATTTAAATGTTACTGTTTATTATAAATTGCCCAATTGGCAACAATTTAATACACAAATTAAATAAATATTCTCCGAAAAAAGTTGAACCGAGGGCAAACCAAAGTTATTCTGGCGTTCAAATCCCTGCGGAAATTTGTCGAGAAGTAATATATGAAATAATGTGCCTTGAAGAATAAAAGGATAATATGCTAACTACAAAAATAAGGCTTTTTGTAACTGAATTCCATATAGTACCTTTTTTTTTAAGTTATTTTAGCCAGCAGTATTTATGATACAAAATAAATCAGTTATAATTTCTAAAGCTATTGTAGTCTATGAATAAAATACGAGATTTTGCCATGAAATTTTTAAAAGCATACTTTTAACAGTCTTAGGTTAGGTTGGGTTATTATCTCTGATGATAAACCGTAGTAGAAACTGTAGTATTTGTGTTCACATTCGTATCAAGTTTTCGGTAAATTGAACATGCAATGTATATTCCGAGAAGGAAATCTTCTTGGTTACATCGATGCCACTGCAGTTAATGCATTCTAAATGAGTCGATAGATTTCCTACATCATCGCGATTATGCTCCGACGGAGTTTGTAATCTCAAGAAATTAACATTATCTCTGTGTAATATAATTCTCAGTTAAGTGAACATTAAGAATACGTTCTTCATATTATCAACATTAGGTACTAAAAACTAAATTCCAATTGTACCATTTAACCAAAATTACTCAACAAAATAACGTCAACGACTGAAGCAAACGAGTAAAAGAGAAAAGATCGTTGAATGATGTATTCAGATCTGTGTTGTCCTGAAATTTTAAACACATTAATTCAGATTTCTGTAGATCTGTGATCGTGGTGTCGCGATTTTGACGATCGATCTCCATAGATCATCAGTTTCTAAGGTCTCCCACTCAGAAAGATCTACGAATACCTGAAGATTTTTCGGATTTACATGGAACTTTACATCGACTTACTAATATCTCAACTAATTTAGAATTGGTGATTGCAAAGGTAATTTACCTTATCCATTAATGTAGGAGATGACATGTCCAACCATTTTTTTAATGGTAAAAATTTGGTTAAAAATGGTTAAAAAATCGTATAATATTAACTTAGAAAAAAGTTTCCGTTTGTTTTGAAACGTTTTTATTCAAAGGAAATGAAACATTAAAATTCAATGAGAAATTGTAACAGATGTAGATATTAATGCACGAACATTAAAAATACAATGAATAATTTCCTAAAGTCGCTCGACGTTCGGTCGTTTGAATGCAGTAAATAATAAAGCAGCACATTCTTATAATAATGTAAACAAATCGATAACAAGCATATGTTATATGTACGTATACCAGAATTTAATGTAAGATGAAGTAAATATTTGCATTTTCTGTCTTCAGCATTTCTTAAAGTTTTAGCTTTTTAAATATAAACTTGTTTAAACTTCGCGAAAATCCTTCGTGGAAGAAAGATGCCTTAAGGATATAATGTATATGTGTATACTTACCTATATTTTGTTTACACATCTCTTTTTCTCTCATCTGTCTCTCGAATTCCGGATCAGAGATTGCCGCTAAATATGAATTACTTTCCCTCAGAGGAAAACTAATTACTGTTGAAATTAAATTTAATTATAGAATATTTCCAAAATGTATTTGGGCCGCTTTGTTGAATTTATTCAGTCGTGACTTCAATAATGTAAAACATAAACCACTTGTTATTTGGATTATCGAACAACTAATTGTTTTTAATCAGATAATTGGAAAACGAGTAAAATTACAGTGGCGCAACAGGTACCTGTAGGAAAGGGCAACAAAAATTTGTTTATTTTTGTCACCATTACGGTCTTCATGGCGGGTATGTTACAGGAAATCTTATATTTTAAATAATCGAGGAAAACAAACCTATTTCCCTATTCCTAAAAAAATAGGGGTAGTTGTTATTCAAGTTTGAAGGTTAAACACATATTTTATTAAACGATTCAATTATTTAATATTACATACGTTCACAGCATTGTTAAGATAACGTGTCAATATGGTAGGGGTGTTTGTTTTCTTATTCTTTCAATAAGCGTTACATATTTAATTTAGTCTTTTTAGGATACTGACACATATCGACAAGAACATCAAAATCAATACAGTAGACAGCAGATACATATTTAGCTACAGTATTCAAACAGACAATGCGATTTAATCATGAATTTTCCATTAGATACTAAAAGTTTCTTACTTGGTTTTGGAATCGTTCTAATTCGAGTGCTCTAAATAACGGATGGATCCATTTCACTGAGTGTAAGATCTGTTCTTTCTTTTTTAGTTATCTGTCTCCCAAAAGGAAAAATAAAGGTAATAGATAAACACAATAAGAATCAATAGGAAACATTGTACCTGAAAAAAGCATTAAAAATTTTAGGATATTCGTATTAGTACAGCAGAATCCGCTTATAATGACATCGAAGGGAAATGACAAACACGCCACACTAAGCGGGCGTCATACAAAGCAAAGTCTTAGAAAATAAAGAACTTTCTATTTTGGTTAGTTATTTAGTTTAATAGAGAGAAAAACTACAAACTGTATATATTTATTAACAGAAAAAGAAAAAGAACGATGAATTGTAATATCAATATACATAGGAAGGGTCAGAAAAATGAACGAAAATGTTATTATTAATCAATTGGGTGACTATAGCCGGATATTATTTCTTGAGAATCAGTCATAATAAACGATATGTCATTTTAAACGGAGTCATTATATCCAAACGAGGTATATCGTTTTTCGGGTGTTAGGATTTGAAATATCATTAAAAGTTGCTTAACTTTATTAAAAACGAAGAAAAAAATAATTTGTTTTTGCTAAAACGTATCTATAAGAGTCTAATGTGGCATTGGACATTGGACGTTCAATACCTTTTTCGTGTGTATTTAGTTACCTACAACACTACCAAAATTTATGAAGCTTTTCGTACATTAGTTATAAGCTGGAGCTTTCGGGATGGTCTTCAAGGGTTATTAGATTTTCTGTTATTTCTTTTGTAAAAGCGTTGCGAACACTCGCGATGGCTAACGATGCAGTGGGTAGAGAAAAACAAGAGTCGCATGTGTGACAAAAAACTCTGTTGTTTTAATTAGTTTCTAAATTAGTTTTCATTTTTCCGTCAATTATTATTTCTTTTTAGTACTTAAAATTATCTACCCATTTTTACCATAAACTCATGGAAACCATATATATTATGTCGAAATATATTGTATGTACTATGAAGCCAGTATGAATTATTTTGAAGGGGTGAAAAATTTTTAAAATGATACAAGCTGTGTAGAATGCGTCAATGACGCAAATGCAATCTACCAATAATAATTTTACAGTAGGTATGTATGTTTTTGTTACCATTTTGAGCCTTAACTACTCTACCGATATTCATTAAATTTATCACACACTTTGTCAGTAGTACAGGAAAGGATATAGAGTATCTTTTATTCAGAAAAAATCTGTTGTCTGTAAAGTCGGTTTACTGACGATAGTTGAACGTGACAACGTCATAAGAAAATACTGATGGAATGGTTTCATTTTTCAAAAGAAAATTTTAATTTTATTTGTTTGATAGATATTTTGTATGGATATAGAGAAGGAGGTAAATGGAAATGTATTACTGTATAGCAGCTGTCCACGCGGACGCATCGCTCACTCAAATAGGAGAGAGACAGATGTCGAACGCTGCCGAACGCGGAGGCCGATTGTGCCTCTTTGTCGCTCGTTCCGCGCTCTCGCTTGCACTTCAAACCTTAAATGGAACGCCTCAGAGCGAGGTAACGCCGCATGAGTCATGTCTTTTTGTGCGTGCAGCCGGCTCCATCGAATTATAAGACGTTGTCACGTCAAAAAAGGTACTGTTCCGGAAGGTTAGAAAAATTAGTTTTATGTGGTCGTCAATGATCATTGAAACGTATTTAGGATATCAATGCGAGCGAAGCCGCGGCTGATATTTATTGTTTTATAATTTTCAAGAGATCAGCCAAAATCAGCACAATCCTTCGTATCCTTTAGTGTTCGTGTAATAAGGGCTGCACCCCCTACTTTTTGTACTTGAGTGTTGTACCAGCGTTCAATACTGAGACAGTCGTTGGCACCGAAATACCGACATACATACTTACTGTGTTTGAAATGAGTAGGGTGAAAAGTGTGTTTAAATATGAATGGGAGCTTTTAGAAAGATTGCACGTACGCTTTTTGTGGTTCGTAGCTTATGTAAGGGAATTTGATTTACTTTTATGAGACTCCACATAGGTACCTTAAAGGGAACTCCTTCTCACAATGCTAATGTTTAATGTTGTTAATGTAGCCGTCAAATAAGTGCTACGCTTTTATAATAAAATTGTCGTGTCAAAAATAGACGAACAAACACATGGATTTTCTGTTTCATATTCCGTATACAAGGTGAGACAAAACGGATTTCTGTATATGAATTCGCTGTGGTTGGTATAGGTGATTTAGAATGACATGAACCTTCAGATACGTGAGAGGTGGGTCTTATTAGAAATCATATTGTGCATTTAAAAAACATTGACTAGGCTGTTATACGATTCTATTGGTTTTAACTTCGACAAATTGTAAAAATTGACAACAAAAACGAAGAAATCAGTAATTAGGAAGAGTTTTGTCACACCATAGCTGAAGGGCAAGGTTCATATCATTCTAAATTACCTCTGTTTGTAATGTTCATTGTTACCATCAAAAACAAAAAAAAAAGAGAAGCAGAAAACAATGTCG